TAATTGTTTGCCTTTTTCCCTCTTGCGGGATATCTGGGAGTTTCCAGTTTTCCCTACAATGAGAATCCTTGTATGTATCAATATAATGACAGATGTCGTCCTATTATTTCAGATAACATACACTCCCTACAAGTAGAATTATTACCGCCCAGATCCTATTCAAGGTGAGACAAGGCTCTTGATCTCTTTATTAAGATAAGAAATTTAGCAGAGATACAAACCATCGCCTGTTTGTCTGAGAATCCTCCCAAGCACTTGTATTGTTTAGGAATCCAGAAATGTGATTACAACACTATTACCAAGGCAACAAATTAGCAAGCAAGACAACCAGGCAGAAGTCTAGGTTTTTATTTGAAGTTATTTTCAAAAGCCATGGCAACAAATTCTGAAGTCTTAGAAACATTGTAAGGCTCTTCTGTTTAAATAACAGTTCATCGTGATTGAGAAATAAGCTAGTTGGTAACAGGAGTTTTCACAAAGTCCCAGTTTTCCAAAGGAAAACAAGATTTATACTCTTGTAAATGGTCTTAATTCAACACTTTATCCAATCAAATTCTTTGATCAAGTTTTATAATTCAGGTTATCTCTCTCTCCATGACTTCAGGGGAAGGAGACATCTATGACTCTGTCTTATGTTCCCCTTGTTAATTACATTCATTTTCATTTTTAAGGTCAGGCTTTGTAAATTCATTAGTTGGCCTTAGAAGCAAAACATAGACCCAGGGGGCTCAATTTTACTGAGATAAAAAGAGTTAATACGATCTTAATTAGTAACAGCTGAATAAGGACCACATACAATCTTTCGTCCACAAAGAATGAAAATGCTTTTTAACGAATACTTTAAAAGGCAATTCCAAAGATGTTACGCCGATGCGTTCTTTCACTGCTAGGGAGCTGTTTCCTCACGGCAGCACCAGAACTGAGGCTATCATCTTGTTTATTTTTCTGACAATCTGATGGGACCAAAAAAGCCACGTCTTTACAGGTCCTTTAAACAGCTTTATTGAGATATAATTGGCCTACAGTAAGCAGCACATATTTAAAGTCTACAGTTTAATAAATTTTCACATGTGTATATATCCCACCAGTAAAGACAAGGAACACATCCATCCTCACCGAAAGTTTCCTCGTGCCCTTGGGATCAATGCTCCTCATGCTCCCTGCTCCCCCAGCTCCGGGTACCAGCTGACCTGCTCTCTTCATAGCCTATTTAGCATCTCATCGTGGCGAGGCTGCTGACTGCCGGGCACACTCCCTCACTGCCCTGGGGGCATAATTTTGCACGGCCCCTGTGAAGGACCGTTGGGGATTATGGGTCAGGCTGGACAAATGCACAATGTGAGCCAGTCATCCCCTTCTAGGGATTTCTGCCATCCATATTCTAACATCCATGCAAAACGACTCCTGTACCAGGTTAGTCACTTTAATTGTAGTAGCAAAATACTAGAAACTCCCTAAATGTCCATAGGTGGACACTGGGGAAATAATTGCAGTGCACCCAAACAATGGATTACTATGCAGCTGTAAAAAAAAAAAAAAAAATGCAGTGCACCCAAACAATGGATTACTATGCAGCTGTAAAAAAAAAAAAAAAAAAAGAGCGTGTTGTTGCAGGAATTGCTCCAAGACACAACGTGAAGGGGGAAGCCCATGTGCAGAGCCGTGGGTGGTGTGCTCGCCGCCTCCCTGTGCAGGGCGTCCGCGAGGGCCATGACCTTGGCCTTCCCCACCCCAGCCCCGGAGAAGGAAGGACTCACACGGCTGGCTGGCCAGTCAATGAAGGCATTAGGCCTATTTCTCTCTGCTTTAATTTGTTAAATCTGTTCAACGTGTCTCCTTCTTATCTCCAAGGGGGGAATCTGCCCACAGAAGCACCACTGCCCACAGCCGGGTGGGTGTGTCTGTCCAGTGGCGGCGGCGCTCATGGTGGGCAGCCCGTGGCCTGCAGGGGACACCCACATTCTTCATGTTGGCTCTTTCAGCAATGACGATAATATTTTGATCTTCACCTGCTTGCCACTCAGGTTGTGCCTAGGTAGGTCATTTATTGTCACCCCAACAAACAAGGTGATTGTATCACAGCAGTTTATACGCAGGTTATACATGCGTTATACAAGCTATGTGCATTTTATACAGACGTGACAAAGTGCATGTATGGATGACCAAGCGATAGGATTGCTCACGCAGAAAATCAAAGAGACTAAACCAAAATCCTCTTAGAACAAACAACACAATCTGGAGGGTCACCAGTTACAACTCAAATATATGAAACTCATTTAGGTTTACATTTGATACCCAAGACCTAGTAAGATACTTTTTATGGGAAAAGGGTCTGATTCACGATATTGCCCGAAAATATGAAAAGCCTGGTAGTAAGTTTAAAAAGAATTGTTCAGGACCTACATGGTGTCACCTCGACAGAGGGACATCGAAAACTAAAACTCGAGAAGGGACAGGAACATGGGTAGAGGTGCAAGGGGCTGACGGGGGCAGGGGGAGCGACAGGGGCGCAGGCCTGACACTTTGAGTCTACAGCTGTTATTTCACTTTTGAAACTTGTTCATGCCATAGTTTCAGAAGTATTTTTTAAAAACACATTTTTGGTATATTTTTGCCATTTTATTCTAGTAAAAATGTAAATCAAAAATTTAAAAATTCACAGAGGAGAACAATTTTGTGAGAAGTGATGAGATAATTTTGAAACCTTGGAATTGAATTTTTTAAAATAAACAATCAAATGCCCCCCAGAAAGTTTGGGCCGAGTTGCAGTTCCACCAACAGCGGGTGCAAGAATTAATTTCCAACTCTGTCCTCGCACGGCCTTGGGGCGAGGGTCTCCCTAAGAGTGAGGCCCCTCGGGCACAAAATTCAAGTGCAGGCTCAGCCCCTGTGATCCTGAGAGTGGGCGGGCGAGCACCTCCTTCGGCTGTGGCCCTGGGGCCTCGCTTGCTTCCCTCTGCCCCTGGTCCCCAGGGGACACACCATGGTTTCATTCAATGAAAGAGGACACTGTCATCTGGCCATCTTGGGCTGATGATCATGGAACCGAAAGGCCTAAACAAAGATTGCTCTGCGACTGGAGAAGCTGCTGCCACATAGGGTGCAGAAGGGGGTCCGCAGGCAGGGGTGCCCCGCAACGCTGCTCACCACCCAATGACACACAGAAAAAGTTCATGGAAAGCTACACCGACCAAAGAAATGCAGGAAAACGGAGGAGTTTGCAGTATTTTGCGGCTACAATTGAAGTGACTAACCTGGTACCCAAGTCGTTTTGCATGAATGTTAGAGTATGGACAAGAGAAATTCCTAGAAGGGCAGTGGCTGGATCACAGGCTATGCGTTTGTGGGCCTGACCCATACGCCCAAATCCCCCCTCCCAGGGCCCTGCAAAATGATGGCCCCAAAGCAGAGAAGGCCTGGCAGGGACAGCCTCGCACAGGAAGTGTTGCCACTCACCTGGGGCTTGGCCATCTAATGCGTCACGCTCCCTTTCTGCAGACCTCGCAAACTTAGCCTGATCCAATTTCTTCCTCCACCCGCCTGTCCTCCCCCGTGCCCTGCCAGGCCTCCGCCCTCTCTGGAGGCCGCACCACGTCTGCCGGCTTCGTCAGGTCCTGGGAGGCTGCGGGCCGCTCTTGCCCTCACCCCTCCGGGGAGCCCACTCCATCTCATGCCACGGTCATGGCCCTCGCTGACGCCCTCGCCTCTTCCCTGGGAAGCCCAGGACCTCTGAGGGGTCCCCAGGATGGCCCTGCTCCCCATTCTCCGGCCACAGGCAGCAGCCAGGGCGTCCCTCCAAGCCACAGGTCACGTCAGCACCAATCTCTCTTCAGACCCCTCCGGCGCTTCCCTGCTTCCTTCGCAGCTGGGCTGAGCCCCGACTCCCAGCCCCAGCCAGGCCCTGCCTGATTCCCTGCCCCTTCCTCTTGCCCCACCTCACCCACCCAGCCCTCCCCTCTTCCTTCCCCTAAAGCCCGGGCTCCTTCCCAGGCCCTACCTGCCGCGTTTGCCCAGGCCACTCCCTCCCTGCACTGCCCTGCCCAAGTCTGTGCAAGAGACGGCCTCCCAGTCAGCTGTCCCCTCCTCAGTCCCTCCATAGCACAGCTGGAGCTGCCCCAAACCCTGCTGCGTCGTCCACCCGCCAGCACCCTGCGCTTGGACCTGACCTGCTGAGTTCTCCCCCAGTGCTCCACGAGGCTTGAACCTGCCCAGGAGCCCACAGTAGGACTGCTCAGATGGGGCCCAGGAGCTGGGCAGAAGGGTCCCCTCTGGGCCCTGACTTTTGTCTCCCTCCATCCTTGCTTCCCACCGGGCAGTGGGCTCCACCCCGTCCCCATGGGCCCCACAGATGGAACTCTGGAGAAAGGGCCTCCCCTCCCTTGTTTCGGCTGCCGTCCAGGTCCTTCTCGCAGGACCCCAGACCCCACAGGGCTTCCCTGGGCTCCCTCTCTGGGCTTTGTGCAATGGACTCTCCAAGGCACCCTTTCCCGCCCCAGAGACTCTGCTCTTCCCAAATCCCAGGCCAGCCGCGGCCACCTCTGGACACAAACCACGGAGCCTCTGCTCACAGCTGTGGCTGTCAGGGCCAGGGCCAGAAACATAACAGTAAGTTCCCAGTGGGTCGACCCCCACCCCCCACCACCCCCATCATCCTCAGTAAAGGTGGTGACCCTTTGGGGGGGCCCCAAGGGGTCATAATCCCCTTTTTACAAATGAGGAAACTGAGTCACAGAAGGGGGACAGGACTGGCCATGCCCTGCGGGCAGAACCTTGCAGAGTTCAGGCTCACAAGTGACAAGGGCGTGGGGCATTCTCTTGCCTGGACCATAGGAGGGGCTCTGGGGGCCGCAAAGGTTGGGGGCCTGACACAGAGCCTGGGAAGCAGGGCGTGCCCGGACCGCAGAGACCGAGGCGGTGTTAAGGATGCCCCAGCCCGCCACCTTGCAGCTCCCACAGTAAACCACTCCACAGCCACTTTTGAAATCAGCTTTATATCAAGATATAAAAATCTGGATCCTGTCTCGAAGGCACACATACAAAAGCAGTACTATCAAAACAATATTAACTGAGGGGAGTGGGTGTGGGAAGAAAAAATACATATATATAAAAAAGAAAAAAACCAGTATTAACAACATCAAACATGCTAACTCCTACAAATGTACAGAGATCTTGAGCGTCATCTACACTGGCCAATCCCCGGCCACAGCTCCGTAAGGCAGTACCTGGGGAAAGGGGACAGCCCAAGAAGTCCAAGGCATAAGCGAGGCTGCGTCATGCCTGAGTCTGAACTGCCCCTTCCGTGCCGAGAGGGGACTTTCGGGCCCTGGGAGCACAGGGCCTGCAGGGCAGCAGAGGCCAGGCAGGGAAACTGACTCCGGTTTTCCTGCAGTAGAGCGAGGCGCCCTGCAGGACAGGGTATGGGCGGAGGCCGCGCTGGGCGGGACAACGCCTCCCTAAGACGTCCACGAGCCAGTCCCCAGAGCCTGTGACCACGTTAGGTTACGTGGCGAACGGGAAGTTAGGCAGCAAATGGAATTAAGGTTGCTAATCGGGGACCTTAAAATAGGGAGATGACCTTGTTATCTGGGTAGGCCTGACGTCATCACAACGGTCCTTAAGAGTGGGGGAGGGAGGAGAGGAGGTGCCAGGGAGGTGCCAGAGGTGACAGGAAAAGGATTCAGCCACCCCCTGCTGGCTCTGAAGATGGAGGGGCCTCTAGGAACGTAAAGGCCAGGAAATGAACTCCCCACAGCCCCCAGAAGGCTCTGCAGACACCTTGCTCTTAGCCGTGTGGGACCTGCGACCTGCAGCGCTGTAAGACAGGTTCTTGCTGCGACCTGCTCAGCTTGCGGAGGTGTGTCACAGCCGCAGGAGGAAACTAATACAGAGGCCGAAGGGTCAGAGGTCGAGCTTGCCCTGCCCCTGCCCAGACCTCAGCCAGACGTCCAGGTGGCAGGGCCCATGGAGGCACCTGTGCCTGTCCCTGCATGGGGGCGGGGTAACCCTGAGAAGACCCAGGAGGCCTGGGCCCCACCGTGGTGGACACCAAGGCCTCCTGGGACCTTGGGATTGTAGGGAGGGGTCAAGGTCTGAGCCCCCGGGGCAGCCGGCAGGGGCCGTGGGGCAATCTGGAAGTGTCTCTGCTGCTGGCTCTGCTCCCAACACGCCACAAGCGCACAAGCCCCTTTCCGGGCCCCAGATAAGAGTTCCTTCCCTCTTTCCCTTCCAGGTCTGTCCTCGATTCCACACTTGCCGAGCCCAGCTCTTCGGGGCCTGGGCTGAAGGAGGCAGGATGGGTGCAGCTCGGCCCAGGCCCTCGGGGGCTGGAAGGGGCGCTCAGACCCGCCCACGAGGCAGACTGCAGAAGGGTCCCCTGGACACAGGACCACACTCTCCCTCCGGCTGCCCTCTGTGTGCACACAGTCAACTGCCGTTTTCAGAGAGGTTCTTAGGTGCTGTCCTGTCGGCTTCCCACAGTGGGTGCCCCGCCCCCACTGGGTACGGAAGCTGCCCAGGGGCCTGCACTCCACAGGGCTAGGCAGAAGCAGCAGCAGAATTTGGAGACTCATGAGGGGCCGGCCGTGAGCAAGCGCTGGTCTGAACATCCCCCAGGTGGGGTGGCTGCCCCAGGTGGGGTGGTACCGGTGCTTGCTGGGTGCTCACGAGCAGGTCAGGCTGCAGGAAAAGCTAACCAACCTTTATCAGGGAAAATAGGGACCTGCAGGGCTCCTGCACCTCTGTGTTGACATCCAGGATGCTCCGGATGCTTCTGACTTCGCTGGTGGATAGGTTCCCCTTGATGGCCAGGATGGCACTCAGGTGGCCTTTGCTGGCAAAGAGAGCATCCTGTGAGCCCAGCCAGTCACCAACACCCCCATTCGGACCCCTTCCCAGCTTCCCAGACTCCTGGCCAGTGCCACAGGGCCCCACGGCCAATCCCCTGCCCACGGGGAGCCTCCCTCGCCCCTGTCCACATGCTCCGGCAGCCGGCAGTCCCAAGAGCAGCCACGCTCCAGCCCACTCCAGGTCTTGCACCGGCTGTTCTGCCTGGAGTGCTCTTCCCCACACTTGAGATGACCAGCTCCTTCCCACCTTTAGGTCTCAGCTAAAATGTCACCTCCCCCAAGAGGCTTTCCCTAAAGTCAGCCCCTCCTGTTACTCATGACCTTGGCTAAACTCCCTTTACAGCTTACGATCATGGTATTTCTCTGCCTGATCACCTTAATCATCGCTGGCCCTCAACAGAAGGGGAGCCCCAGGGAGACCTGGCCTGGCCTGTGCTTCACTGCGTCCTGGCGCCTAGAACAGAGCGTGGTCCCTAGCAGGCTGCTACATGATTGCTGGTGGGATGGGTGGGTGAGCGGATGGTGGCCAGGTGCTTGTATGGGCGGGTGGAGCAGATCAGCCAGGGGCTGGACTAGGCGAAGCTGGGTCAACCCTGTCAAGGCCCATTCAGATTTTTCCCACCCTATCAGAGGACCGAGCCCAGAGAGAAACAATGTCCCTGGTTCACCAGCCCCTCAGGCAGCCAGGGGCTAAGTCTCCACTCCCGAACAGGAGCCCCAGGGCCCAGGGCACAGGTCCAGGCCCCCCCAAGGCTCCCCAGGCTGCGTAGTAGACCCTGGTCTCTCTGGTCTCAGGAGGCAGTGTCCCATAAGGCTGAGAGCATGGGCAGTGGAACAGGACTGCCTGGCCTTGTCACTTTAGCTCTACCTCTGCCTAGCGGTGTCACCTTGGACACATTCCTTAAGCTCTCCAGGCCTCGTTTGTAAAATGGGAATGAAAAATGTCAGCCTCGCAGGGCTGAGGCGAGGACTAAATGAACGAGTCCCGCACGCAGCAAAGGTAGCGGCCAGGACTGCGCCACTGCAGAACATCAGCATCTGGGCTCCTGATGCCGGCCCCAGAGGCCCCGCCACAGGGAGGTCTGGCAGGGCCACCCCGACTGCTCAGCACCCCTCGTTCTCACCTGAAGTCGGGGTAGCAGGTGGCATAAGTGGCCACCTCGATCTTGATAGCACTGGGGTCTTGCAGGCGAATGATCTCAGCAAGCGTGGGGAGGGCAGGATGCAGCCAGGTGGCAGCGGAGCCCTGCGGGCACAGGCGTGGCTGCCGGAGACCGCCCTTGCCCTCGCAGGCACCCAGGGGCCCAGAGAAGCTCAGGTCAGGAGCTGGCTGGGCTCGCAGAGGCCCTGAGGGTGCTGTCCTAGATCCTGAGGGCTGGGGGGAAAGAGGCAGCCCACCCCGGGGCTCAGGAGGGTGGGCAGGGGCTTACGTTCTGGGTGCAGAAGTGCTGGATGACATCGGCGTTGGCCAGGATGTGCCTTGCCAGCTGCTGCTGCTGCTCGGCCGTCTTGAGGACCAGGCAGCGCTTGCTGAGGCGGATGATGTACTCCTTGACCAGGTGCAGGTGCACGCTCTCCATGAGCTCCTGAGGGCAAGCAGCCAGGGTCGTGGGAGCCGACCGCTGACGGGGAGCTCCCCACCTCCCACTCCCAGATGCCGGAGTAAGAGTGCATACGTGTGCATGTATTCACAGGTGCGTGTGGGTGTGTGGGTGCACACACACGTGTTAGCCCTCGTGTCCGGGCCCAACCGCCAGCCCAGAGCGTGCTCACCTCCCGGAAACAGTCCTGCAGTTCTGAGAACTCGGGCAGCCTTCCGCCCACGGTGGCAATGATTTTCTCCAGAGTCTCCGCGGGGGTTGCCCAGTAGGTCTGCGTGAACTTCTTGAACAGCGGCTGAGATGGGGGAGGCAGGAAGTCTGGTCACGCCCCGGGAGAGGCAGGGCCGCCAGCCGTAGACCCGTGTGCCAGGCAGGAGGGCCAAAGGTGGCTCAAGGACTCCCAGGGAGCCCAGACAGAGCTCAGGCCCCTGCTCACAGACAGGAAGTGGAGGCAGGGTCTGTGCACCCTTCTCTAAGGTCGTCCAGCTGCGGCTCAGGGGCCAGGATGGCCTGTCTGCCGGCCCTGGGGCCTTTTCCACTGCCTCCCTCTTAAATAAATAAATTCCTGCATAAACAAAGCCTTGTGCTTGGCTGGGCCTGTGAGACCGGTGCCAAGGGATCCAGGGTCACTGGTAGGGCCTTCGCTACCCTCAGGCCACCCGTGGCCTCTAGCCCTGGACACTGGGCAAGGAACACCTCTTCCTTTTGAGGGACCCCCACCTCTGCTAAAGTTCCTCTGCTAAAGGAACTACTTTAATTCAAAGGGTTTTCTGTGGATTTCTTGACCCACAGCAGATGTGACCCTGGCTGCCAAAGGCCCCAAGCTTCAGGAGCTGGGAGCTGGGCACAGGGACGGGGGGCAGAAGGTCTGGAGAGCTGGAGGAAAAGTGTGAGCAGATTTGGGGACTGGGCTGGGTCTACTTGTCCAGGCCCTCGCAGCCCTGGCAGCCCCTCTCAGGCCAGGCCCCAGGACAAAGTGGTGGGCAAAGGCAGGACCCCTCTGGGGCCCCGCCACCTGGCACAGCAGCTTGCTCCATGCCTCTCACAGGCCCAGAGCGTGTCCTCCCCACACCTTGCGCTGCCGTGCCTCCCCCTGCCCCCGCGCTGGGCTCAGGAGGCTGCTACCTTCAGGTCCGCGAACAGGCTCTGGAGCAGGGCGTCGAAGCCGTGACGCTTGAGCTCACTCAGGGGGCCCAGCAGGAGGCTCAGGCGATCCTGGGGTACCTGCCACTTCTGCTCCATGGACGTCCTGGGAGATGGAGGCAGGGGGGTCACACCAGCCCTGCCCAGACTACAGCCCCACACCCAGGGAGGCAGTTAGCCCCTTCTCCTCACTCTAGAACCCTCGATGGCTCCCCATCCCCTGTGGGATCAAGTCCAAGTCCTCCCTCCTGTCCACGCTCTCCACACCCCCGGCACACACCGACAGCACATCCCCCTCTAACTGAGGGCCAGCCAGCGCCCCACGGCCAGTCTGCCCCTCTGCTTAGCAGGCATGACCGCTGTACCTACACTGTCCGGTTGTGTAAGGATAAAATAACGAGTAAATCGTTGGCGTGAGTGCACGAGCCACCCGGCATTGACGTTTGCTGCTGCTATTGCAGCCCGTCCTGTCCTTTCCCCACCCACCGTGCTAATTTCGAGAGTCCACGTCTTTGCCTGCGTGGCTCCTCCTCCCCTCCAGCCCAGCTACCCTCTCCCCCGCCAAGCGCTTGCCACCCCTCCCCACCCCGCCTCCCAGCACCCTCACCGGAAGGACAGGCAGTTGTTGATGTTGGCGATGACATTGGCCCTGTAATGTCTCAGCTTTTTGCATCTCTCCAGAAATTCGTCAAAGGTGCGCTGGTAGCTGGTAAAACCAGAAGGGGCACATTCAGGACCAGCACAAACACCGGGACACAGCAGCCTCCAGCCGCCCTGCCAGTGGGTTCACAGAGCCTTTTCCCTTTGTCTCCCCGCAGCTCAGGGAGGGCCACTAGCCCCTCAGTGGCACGCACGTGGCTTCCGGGGGTGGGGGCGGGGGGGGCAGGTAAGGCCAGTGGGCCCAGAGCCCCTCCAGGGCTCCTGAAGAGAGCGTGAGCCCTGTGCTGCTGTCCCCAGAACCCCATCGCTGGAAGACCAGAGGGGTGTGGCTGGCTGGAGGAGTCCTGGGGGTGTGTGTGAAGGGGTGGCAGGGGTCTCAGTCCCTCCCGGGGCATCCTCTTTGAAGCTGGAGGCTGCTCTGCTGGGAGCTTTGCTGACTGGGGGACAGGAAGTTCCACACTCAGTCCTGCGGGGGGTCAGACCTCCTGAGGCTCTCAGCACCCGGGGGTCGGGGGGACTGATCCAGCTTGGACCCCACCTGAGGCACAGGCAGGGGCCATGGCTCTGAGCAGGTGGCCGCCGGCCCGTCCTGTGCAGCACATGCACCACCCACCTGCGCAGGAGCGCGGCCAGCTCCACCAGCAGCACTTGCTTTATCTGCGCGCCCAAGTCGGGGGTGATGCTCTCTGCCTTGGCCTGGGCCTGGGAGATGATCTGCAGGGTGGTGGTGGGTGGGCTGAGCAGGGGCTCCCTGGACTGGGGCTGGGGTGGGGTGGGGAGCATGCTGGAACAGGGGGTGCCAGGAGGTGGGCAGCACATGCACAAGGAGTGTATGGGCTGTACGCGTGCACGGTGCAGGCTGTCTGTGGGGCAGACCCGGTACCTGGAGGATGTCGATGGCCAGCTCACTGTGGCAGTGGCCATCCAACCTCTGGGGGGCCACATCCTGGGCCCAGTGCTGTGACTCCAGCTCCAGGGCACGGGCCATCAGCTCCTTCACATTGGCCTGGGGGGAGGAGGGGCAGGTCATCGTAGCACTGACCCACCTCCCTGCTCACCTGGAAGTCGCTGTCACACTCCTTGCCCAGGCCCAGTCTGTCTCTGATCCCCCCTTCCTTGCCTTCCTGCCCCTCCCTGGCCCAGGCCCTGGCCCGGCGCAGGACTCACCGCCTCGTTGGATAGGAACGAGGCCTCCAGCAGCCGGATCTGCTTCGGGGGCAGGAGGCTCCCAAGCCCAACACCCTGCAGCTCAGCCGCCAGCTTGGGGCTGTTGATGACGTCACTGTGGGCAGAGGGAGGCTGGCATGTGGAGAGCTGCACCCACTCAGCACTGTCCCTCAATAAGGAGCCACCTTCCCAGACTTGGCCTCCAGTCCCCAGCAGGCCCAGGCTCCCCTGCACCCTGAAGCACCCCCATCCCCATTCCCTGGTTCAGATGATGGGTCCTCTGTCTGCTCAGTTTGGTTCAGACCAGAAACCCTGAAATCATCGTCGTGCCTCCCGACTCTCAGCCCCACATCCACGCCTGCTTCAAAATAGCCCCCCAAACCCATTAGCCTCGAGCCACCCTCGTGCCCTGCCGGCCCCCCATTCTCACCTGCTTGTGCAGGAGCCTCCTCCCCACCTCTCTGCCCCTGCCCTGCCCCCAACAGCCCCTTCTCCACCCAGCGGCCAGCGCCACCTTTCAGATCTGATCTCCCTGCCCCAAGTCAGCTCCTGGTCACAGCGCCCTGAGACCCAGCCAGACCTTGGGCAACTCGCCCGCCCTGCCCGCCCCACCAGGCCAGCCCTGCAGCCCCCAGAGGGTGGGCCGGCCAGGGCAGGAAGGGCTGCCCCTGAACTGTTCCATGGAGGCGTCTCAGCTCACTCTCGTGGCGCCTCTGCGGGGTCCCTGAGGTCCCAGGGGACCTGCCTAGCCCTGGCACTTCCAAAGGGGCCTTTGCTTGGAGGCTTAAGGATGACCCTCTCTGTGCCCCTCACCCGGTCTAGACGCAGACTGCGTCCCTCTGTTCCCCACACTTCTGGCCACACAGACTTCAACAATGCCTCCCTGGACACCCCGTCACCAGGGCTCCATGCCCAGGCTGGCCTTAGTTTCCTGCTGTGCTAACCCCACTGGGCCCCAGGCTAGGAGACCCTGAGGTCACTGGGACAGGAAGGCTCACAGGCAGAGGTGCCAGTGCCTGGTACTTCCTGGTGAGTCAGGACACACAAGTAGGAACTGGCTTGGAGCTGGACTATCCCTCCTGCAGCCCCTGTCCTGTGCCCATGCCCCTATGCCCTACTGACTCCTCACCCACTACCCCTCTGGGCCCTTCCCGTGTCCTCCTGTCGGAGCTGACCCATCGGCACCAACTGAGCCCACTGCCGCCCAAAGGTCCTCAGGCCCTCAGACACAGCCCACACTATTTGCACCTCCAGGCTTCACGCCTGGAGCTGGGCCAGCAGTGGCCGAGCCCCCACAATAAGAGCCCCTGGCCTCCCGTGCCCTGGGCACTTCCACCCTGCAGAACATGTCCCTCCCCACGCAGTCTGTGTGAAGGAGGGGCACACACAGCGATCCAGGCGTCTCGGCCAGTCAGGGGATGCCTGAGGCTATACCCAGCTGGGGTACCAGCTGTCCCCCATTGGCACAGCCACCTCCCGCCTGAGGAGCTCCAGGCCTCAGCGGCCAGAACCCAGCTCTGCCATGGGCTCACAAGGTGACCCACACGGGATCTTTCCAACAGGACCCCTGGCCCTATCCTGCCCCTGCTAGTCGTCCTGCCTAAGGGGGCCCACATAGCCTGCGAGATAAATCCAAACACCCTGACCAGTTCTGCTGGGCTCCCAGAGCGTCCCAGGGGTCAGCCTCAGGCGCTGAAAGATGCCATGCCCTTTGCCAGGAACACCATCCTCCCTCCCACCTCCTGCCCTGCCTGGCCTGTCCCCTCCCCAGCCTGACTCCCTCACATCCATTAGACTGGAGCGGGGACACTGCTCCCGCAGAGACACTAGGCTGGCTTCCCTGACCCCCGTAGGCCTGCTCTGGGTCCTCGTTGTTGGCTCCATCCCCTCCTCAGACTGGGAGCTCATAAAGGAATGAAGTCCCTGCCATTCTCTGGGCCTCAGTTTCCCCAGCTGCAGAATGTGGCTGAGGCCCAGGAAATTAAGGGCTCCAAGTGCAAAGCAGCCCAGCCCCAGCCCCGTCCCTGTGCCCAGGCCCTGACCTGGCATGCCCGGTTCCGTCCTTCTGAGTCCAAATCCCACCCCTGCACTCTCAGATCCCCGATTCTGCAAGCGCTGGCCCCACTGAAAACAGCTCCCTTCGCGCCTCAACACCCCTCCTGCAGAGCAGACCCCTCCCTGCCCCGGGTTGGGGGGAGGGGGGCAGCCCGCCGCTCACTTGGGGTAGAGGTTCTGCACCCAGACCAGCAGCATGTAGGTGTCGCGCTCGCACAGCTCGAACTGCGCCATGGCGGCCAGCTGGGCCGCGAAGTACTCGTGGTAGCTCTGGGCATAGGTCGCCACCACGCCGAACTCGGGCGGGAACAGCGGCTTCAGCCTCTCCACCACGGCCTCCAGGTCCTCCTTCATGGTGCGGCCCATGTGCAGGAAGACGCTCTCGGCCTCCGAGCGGCCCTCGGCGCCCTCGGCCGGCCGCCGGCCCATACGCTCCTCGGCCGCCTGGGCCACGCCGCGCCGCCACAGCTGCAGCCAGCGCCGCGGACGCGTGGCCGCCAGCGCCGAGGTCCCCGGCTCCGCCTCCGCCTGGCGGTCCTCGCGCTCCTGCTCGGCCACCACGGCCAGCGCCTGGTGCAGCCGCTCGGGCGCCACCTCCAGCGGCCGGCGCAGCACACCGAGCGCCTGGTCGCGCAGCAGCGCGTACAGCGCCTCCACCTTGCTCTGGCGCCGCACCAGCTCCTCCTCGCCCGCGCCGCCCGCCGCCGCCGCCGCCTGCAGCTCCCGCTCCAGCGCCAGCAGCGGCCGCGCCGCCTCCAGCCGCCCGCGCTCCAGGGCCGCCTTGAGCTCCTCCACTGCGCCCAGAAAGCCGCGTTAGCGCCGGCGCCCCGGGCCGCCCCCAGAGGGTGCAGGCCGGGTCCCCGACAGGACGGAGGCCTGGTCGCCCCCTCCCCTGCCCGCCCCACTGGGGCACTGGTGAAAGCGGGAGGCACACACACCTCCAAGCCCAGCTTGCTGCCCCCCGGTCCCGAGTGGGTGGCTCATCCATGCCCATGCGCTCCTACCCTACCCAGGCCGGCCTGGCTCTAACGCACCAGCCCTGGGCCCAGCCTACCTGTGGGCAGTGGGCCATCCAGCCCTGGCCTGGGCTCAGGCTCGCCCTGCGGCTCTGTTGAGCCCGACTGGCCCTTCTTCTTCTTTCCCTTGGTGAAGACACTGAACATGTTGGCCAGTCCCTTTGGCTTCTTCTTCTTGGAAAGCTTTTCCTCCTTCCTGTCTCGGGCTACCTCAGCCTCCAGGGATGGCACCAAGTCCTCAGAGGAGGCCTCTGACTCTGCCTCTGACGTAGAGGGCAACTTTTGGGGGCTTCTGGGTAAGTCGAGGGTCCCTGGCACAGGCTGCTGGCCCGGAAGACCTTGGAAAAATGTCATCATCTTCAGCATCACCCTGGCTCAGACCTGCAGGTTGTGAGGAGGGAGGATGAAGAAGTCAGTGGCCACGGTGCACTGGCCCTGGCTCCGGGCTCCCAGGCCCGAGCGCTCAGCTGCGGTGTCCGCACTGAGCGTGCTTGGTCTGTTTTCACTCGTACAGCCACCGGGGCTCTGGCCATCTCCTGGCCTAGCAGAGCCCCAACAGCTCTGCTCCCTTCTCTCCACCCACAGCTCCTTTTCCAATACCTGGAGGCCCCTCCCAGAACCACCCCTGGGACGCCAAGCTGCCGGGACAGAGGGGCCTTCACTTCATTTTGGCAAATCCTTCCTTGACAGCCCACCCCCTGGGCAGGAGGAAGGGACTGTAGTGAGTACTTCCCTGGATCCCACGAGACCCTGGGGAAGAGCCAGGGCTGGGGCTGCTGTCCCTTTGACAGAGCAAGAACAGAGGTCCAGAAGGGTCAGTGCCATGCCCGGGTCACAGAGCACCAGAAGCTGACCTGAGGCAGGAGCCCAGGCCCCTCCTGCCTAGCTGCACCTTGCCCAGTTCCCACCGCGCCGGGGGACCGTGGAAGGCTGTCATGAGCAGGAACTCGGCTGCTCCTGCTGGGCCACGAGGGGCAGAGATTGACTCCTCTGCCAGCCCTGGGGCTCAGATCTACAGAAGCCATAGGGGGTGGGAAGGGACCTTGGAGACCCTTTCACATGTCATGGGCAGTTAAGAGCTCAGCAAGGCACAGGGCTGCCTGAGGTCACACAGCAACTTGGGCCCAGAAACCAGGCTTCCTGGCTTCTGCCCCAGCCTGCCTGCTCGCAAACAGGGTGACATAGCCACAAAAGCTTCCTGTTTTTGCACCCTTCCTGGGTGCCCACCCCATCTCTTCCTTTCCAGCATCCGGAAAGGGTGTTGTTATTTAGGTTTAAAATGTCCCTATGGTCAATAGCTTGGGCTTGGAACTCAGATCACCTGGCTCCAGAGCCCGGCGCTTCCCCTGCCCGTGTTCCCCACTGCCCTGCAAGCTGCATCCAGAGAAGCAGGACCCTCCCCAGCACCCTGACCATTGTCAAAGCAAGGCCAGGACCACTGCAGGGGAGCATGGCTGACCCTAAGGGAGGGCTGGGCCTCCCTGGTCACTGGGGTGACCTGTAACCATGGTGCCACCTGCCCACCCCACCCCCAAAAATAAATATATCAAGCTGTGTCTCATGTATCATGATGACTTAGAGTAACCCCTGCAACAGCCTTGTAAAGCAGACAGGATGACCCACCATCCAGAAGGAGAAACTGAGGCTGGGGGTGGGGGTGCCTGCCCCAAGCACAGCAGGCACGGGGGCTGAGTTCAGGCCTGTCAGACCCTTCCCACAGCCCCAGCTGCTGCCTCCACTGGCCCAGCTATCCTACCCCATTCCCTCAGGGGGTTGCCCCATACCCTGGGGCTTGGCCAGAGCCACTTGGGGGACAGAAAGCCTGGGCTCCTCCCACCCCCAGCCCCTGCCATCTCACCTGGTACCCTGGGCAGAGTCCCACACTCCTGGACCCCAGTTGCTCCCTAGTACCGTTTGGGCTGAGAGCTCCACTTCAGGACCAAGCAGGAATTGCCCCGGGGAGCTCCAAAGCCAAGGTCCCCAGGTGCAAGGCCACTGGACACTTCTGCCCTGCCCACCCACTGGCCCAGCTTCCCCTCCCAACCCATCTCATTTGCACGCCAGGCACCGCAGGAGCTGGTCTATCCAGCAGGGCTGCTCAGCCCCACCCTGGGCACCCAGGCCCCACCCCTGCCGTCCTCCGAGAGTGGGAGAGGAGCCACCCTGACCAGCAGTGCTGCCCACCAGCCTCACTGTCCCACCCCTCCCCGTAGGACACAACTCCTCAGTCCCCACACAGTCCAGGCCCTCTCCGTCCTCCAGGCCCAGCTCCTGCAGGTCCCCTGCAGCATGACTGGCCTCTCCCCTCTCCGGCAAAAACCCCTGCCCATCAAGGTCCCACAGCTGGACCCCGGGCCTCGTCCCAGGTCTCGACTCTCAGAGGCAGCTGGCGCAGCGGGAAGAGAAACGGCCGCGGGCTCTCTGCACCTCTCACCGGCGTGTGGACTGACACCCCCTTCCTTCACAGGCCTGTGTCCCCACCTCTGGAATGGGCATGAGGACCCCACCTCGTTGCGCTGCTGAGAGGATGTGGCAAAACCGCCCCTGCAGGGGCACCTGGCTGGGCTCAGCAAGGGTGAGTACGCTGTGTGCCTGTGTCTGTCCTGCAGGCACCGCCAGGCGTGCCGCAGGGGCAGCAGGAGGGCGGGAAGGCACCCCTTAAAGCCCGGGCTCTGACTGCCCACTGAGGCGGGAAGGGGCCTGCAGAGTAACCGCGGCCACAGCTCCACGGAGGCTCCCGGGCTCCCCTCAGCCGCTTCTGCCCGGCTGGGGCTGAGGGCCGCACGGCCTCCCTGCTCCCTGGGCCTGGCTCCTCTCTCCTGGGGCGCAGCCATCCCCGATGAGGACATCCAGGCACAGGCAAGGAAGTGACTTGGCCTAAGTCACACAGCCAGGGAGTCACGCCACAGGGCTGGGCCTTCCTACGGCGAAGGGAAGGGCGACCCGGCGCCTGCCCGCCAGCCCCGCCCTCGCTGCCTCTCGCTGGACGGGGCCTCAGTTTCCCCAGCAGTGGGGCTGCCCGAAGCCAGGGACCCTTGGAGTGTCTCCTGCGCTGTGTCAGGCCGTTCCCTCGGGGAATCCGGCCGGGGACTCGGGGCCAGGGCGAGAAGCTGAGTGGCGCGGCGGGGGACGGACGCACGGAGGCAGAGGTCACTTACTGTGTCCGGGCCGGGCCGCCGCTGTCCCGGCCCCAGCTCGGCGCGGCCTGAAATAGTCGCAGGCTCCGCCCCCGCCCCGCCCGCCGCAACCGCGGAAAACCCGCGGGCGGAGGCCAAGGCCCGGCGTGGCGGGGGCTGTGTGCCGGTGTCCCGGTGTCCGGGTGGCGCCAGGCTGGCCCAGCGGGAGGGAGGGAGGCGCGGGTCGCTGCCTCCCACCAGCCCGGGCAGGGGTGGCGGGGCGGACCTTGTGTCGCCGGGAATGTGGGGCACCGGGAAGGACCCGGGGGCACCGGGATCCGTCCGGAGCCGCCGGGCTCATTGTCCGACGACAGCTGCTGATAGGCTGCCCCGAGGGGGCCGCGCTCAGGGCCACTTTCTGCGTCACAGAGCCAGCATCCACCCCGGCTCAGGGCTCAGGGCCGCGCCCGCGTCCCACCCTGACTCCCTCAGCCGCCAAGCTCGCCCCTCTGGGCAGAGCGCTCCGCTGTGCAGGCATGGAGGGGGCTTCCTGGAGGAGGCGTCCTAAAGGGAGGGGGCTGCAGCACCAGCCAGAGCACTGAGGGCTGTGCACGGCCGCCTGCTGGGGGCCTTGCTTGAAGCCAGGAACTGCTCAGAAAGGTGAAGTGACTTACCCGGGGGACACGGGCAGTAAATGACAGAGTGTGAGTCCACGCAGGCCTGGAGGACTCCCGCTGAGCACTGCCCTCTCTGGGACTGGCTCGGAGCTGCCAGGGAGCCGGCTCAGGCTTGCCCGTCACTTGGCCCAGGGTTGCCCACTCAGCACTGCCGCGAGCAGGTCCCAGCACTTTCCGGTGCTCAGTTTCCCCTTCCAAACAGTGGCTCGGGTTCTGCGGGATGGAGGGGCGGGGAGGCTGGGTGGAGGTGTGCGAGGGGAGCTTAACTTCCTTCCCCCTTTCACAGCCTAGGAATTCCTGCCCTCTGGAAAGGACCGTGTCATTTAGGAATTTCCCAGCTGGGCACCAGCTGCCCTTTTGCTCCTTGCTGGAACCTCTGCTCTTCCCCTCTGTGTCCAGCTCCTCTGTCCCCTCCTCCTGCTCCCTCCTCCTCTCCCCCTCCCCCCGCCAGCCTGGGCACTGGTCCGCCAGAGCTGGGAGGGGCAGCTGAGTGAGGGGTACATTCAGGGGGTGCCCCTTGGGACTGAGAACTTCCTCTTCCTCTTCAGGAGTGGTGGCCAAGTGCCAGGTTTGAGCTTAGGCTGTCGTCTACCCTGTCCCTGGGGGGCTTACAGGGGCAGGGCACAGGAGGCTGCCAGGAGAGGGGCGTAGACTGCATACCCCATCCCTTCTCTCCCCAAGGTCCTGGAGATGACATTTTTCAGATGAGTCAACAGAGCCACAGGTCCCTGAGGCTGGGAGGTCATTCCATCAGCTCCACGGTGCACAGATGGGAAGACGGGTCAGGCCAGCCCAAGTGCAGCCAGACACGGATGATGGGATGAGAACCACGGGGTCCTGGCCCGACGCCGGCTGTGGCCTCATTGTGCAATCCCCACGAGGCTCTCCTGCCAGACTCTGCCCCATCCGGCCTCGCTCCTAGCTCCACGCAGATTGGGAAGTGGCTAGGGAAGCCTGCAGGGGGGAGGGGCTGTCAGGCCCGCAAGACCCCACTATCCCTTCAGAGCCAGCACCTGGTCAGCCTGGGCTTTGCAGGGCAGGGGCAGGGCCACCAACCTTGTCCCCAGCTGCCCACAGTGGCTCACCAAGAGCAACTGCTAGGGATTGGGGAAAGAGAACACTGCCTTCCGCCTGCGTGGTGCACCAGTCACTTCCTCTCTTCAAGTTCAGTCCCCAACAGAAGGGAAACCTGAAAACGGGGCCACATAGAGGGCTGAGGGATGACATCCAGGGGCCCATGGGGCAGGAGCTCTGCTTACCCCGCTTTGGCAGATGAGGAAACTGTCCTCAAGAGGCCAAGCACCTCCAGCCAAGGAGCACCCCCCGGCAGGAAATGAGCATCAGATGCTGCTTGGGAATGTGACCAGCTGCTGTCCTCTTTCCCACCTCCCAGGGGATAGGCCAGGGCAGTGGGTGGTTCCACCAGGCAGGGAAGGCAGCAGGCAGGAGCACACGGGCAATGACCCCCCAGTCCAGCCCCGAAGTCAAGTTCGCCAGCACCTGGCCAGGAGCCACAGTCAGCCCAGGCCTCATGGGACATCCCCTCCCTTCCTTCTGCTTGAGCAATGACAGC